GGCTCAACCGCAGGTGTCGGAGGAGAAGGCGCCACTGTCGGGCAAGTGGGAGCGGGATTGACCCTGGTTGAGTAAGGAGGGACTTTCAATGATGGATTAAAAGAAGTCTGTGTCCTGCAGTGGCGTGGACGGGTGTTGGCTTATATATATATGTATATATATATATATATATATATATATATATATATATATATATATATATATATACATATAACACACACACACACGAATATGTATAAATATATACATACACATCCATTATATATATATATATATATATATATATATATATATATATATATGAAAAACACACATATTTATAAAGTAAGTGATAATTACTAGGCCACTATCATTCAATCTCCTATCCTCTGGAACCTAAAAATAATCCATTGTTTACGACGCCCATCGGATACAGTTTCGACTTTCCTTGGGCCGCGGTCCGCCACGCGGCGGTGGCGGCCTGGGATGCGCCCCCCGCTGCGGGTTGCCCGCTCGTGTCCCCGGGCAGCTGCGTCTGCACATGGCGGGTTTCAACGCTCAATATTTATCCGTGGGCTCCTGCGGGTGTTGGGTAACGGGCTGAGGTCTAGGCATGCTCGGAAAGCCTGCACTCGGGACTGTTGCTGCTCGGGCTGTGGGCGCCTGTTTGTTTTTCTTTACGGTTTTATGGCGGCATCAACCGTATGCTTCTGCAAGTGTGGATGTCGCCGTATGCAAGAGACACCTTTTTTTTTCTTTGCATTTGAGGAGTTCAGGAGGCGGGAGGGAGTTCCATTCCGGCAAGGGTGTTGGATTTACTGCCTCTCTCTCTCTCTCTCTCTGCATGTGTGTATATGTACTTATACGTGTACGTCATGTATGTGTGTGCATGTTTATGTATATATATATGCATATACATATTTTATATATATATATGTGTGTGTGTGTGTGTGTGTGTGTGTGTGTGTGTGTGTGTGTGTGTGTGTGTGTGTGTGTGTGTGTGTGTGTGTGTGTGAATAAATATAAGTATATGTAAAAGTGTATATGCATGTGTATGTACGTATGCATGTACTTGATACCAGGAAGAGCATAAGACGGTCGGTAGGATGAGGAGGAGAGGGGTGGGGGGGGCGGCCTCCCTCCTTCCGTTGCTAAATGCGAAAAGAGATCTTGATTTCAAACACCGGTTTGTGTTACCAATTACATGAGCCGCGGGGCATGTGGCTCACCAGCGGGAAACCCAATCGCTAATCTTACTAGTGCTCTCTCTTCCAGTTGTCATTTTCTTGTAACAGACAGACACTTAGATTGATAAACATATATATAGAAACGAGAGCGCGCGCGGACGAACACGAACGCAAGGACACATGCATATGCACACACACGCACGCACACGAGCACACTCACATACTCACATACACACACACACATGCATATCTTAAAAGTTACATGACCAAGAAATTAACGTTGGAGTAGACAGTAACAATAAGCAGGGAGGGGGGATGAGAGAGAGAGAGAGAGAGAGAGAGAGAGAGAGAGAGAGAGAGAGAGAGAGAGAGAGAGAGAGAGAGAGAGAGAGAGAGAGAGAGAGAGAGAGAGGGAGAGCAGATATTTATAACGTAAAAAATACACGGAATTAAAAAATACAGATGGAATTTCCTAGAAGCTAGAAGACAAGTCCACACAAAGTAACGTCTTCTGTAAGCAGCTTTACAGAAAAGTAATACACACACACAGCATAAAAAATAAAATAAAATAAATTACGAAAACTTTACTCAGTTAATACCCATAAACACGGTGTCTCTGAGCAAACAAATGCATTTCCTTGCCGCCAAAAGTGTGCAGAAGAGGATTGAATCTCGTTATGAACGGTAACGAAATTATAGACGTTTTGACTATAAATACTATATGACCTTTTATTTCTTCTAACCATTGACAATTGAAAAAAAGTCGAAAAAAGTCGAAAAAAGTGAAATAATAAAAACAGAGAAACTGTAATGACGCATTAAGTTAATCGTAATATTCCAGCTTTTAATCAAAATAAACTAAACATAAACCATCTATCGTGATTAAGAACATATTTGCTGGAAGATTCTGTGGATTATAAGAACTCACAGTGCAAAAACCAGGTATAAACGGACAATTCTGATATGAATGAAAAAGTATGTACGTAAAATGAATGTTAACCGTTGTGTACTTCGTTAAATTGCTTAAGAAAATGCTTCCAGCTTTACAGTATACATATGCTGCGTTACGAATGTAAGTAATAATTAGAGAAGATACATAGTATATTACTTTTCAAAATTTTTTAGTCATGATCTGTGATACTATAGATGTGGAACTTGAAATTATATTCCCTGTGACTGCGGACTTGAACTTTTTTAATTTAGATGTTGGACAAACTTTGCCTGGAATCGTATCCCATGTGACTGCGGATCTGATGTCCAATATTTTTTTTTTTTTTTTTTTTTTACAATAGGAGGATAATTTAGAACACAAATATGAAAGAATGACACACGCACACTTGCACGCGCGTCGTATTGCGATTCTACGAGAACTTTTGTTATCATCAGTGTTGTTATTATTGTTATTATAATCATCATTATTATCGTTACCGGGCTCCCCTTATGGGCATAGCCCGGGCGAGGCTCTGCCTCGCGAATCAAGCAAAAAAAAAAAAAAAAAAAAAAAAAAAAAAAAAAAAAAAAAAAAAAAAAAATTATTATCGTTAATGTTGTCATCATTGCTTTTATTAGCATCCTCATCTTTATCATTATCATTATTATTATTATTGATTGCGTCGCACACTGTCTTTGTCAGTGGTGATAACAGCTTGAAACTTGGTGTCAACAAGACTCCTCAAATTTCAAGCACTTTGCGGAAGATCCTTGCAGAGTGGATGATAACAGTTTTCTGCAGTTCAACAATTCGTGTTCTTATTCCAAGGTCATCTAATCTTTTGGAAAGTTTCTTTGGGGTTGTCCCAAGTGCACCTATTATAATAGGAATTACTTTCGTTCGCATGTTCCATAGTTTCTGTACTTCTCGTGCTAAATCTTGATACTTTTCTATTTTTTCCATCTCTTTTGCATTCACTCTACTATCATACAGTATGGCAAAGTCTATAATTTTGCATTCTTTCTTTTCTTTATCAATAAGAATGACATCAGGTCTTCTGGCTTGAATGACATGATTATTATTATTATTATTATTATTATTATTATTATTATTATTATTATTATTATTATTAACATCATTATCATTATTATTATTACTATTACTATTATTATTAATATTATTATCATTAGCATTATTATTAATATTGTTATTATTATTATTATCATCATCATCATCATAATTTTTCCTCGAAGCAAGTACACCGCACTGAAGTAGTTAGACCGTCAGTTTATGTACATTTAATAGTCACACGACTATCCGAGGGAGGAGGTTAGGAAGGAAAGATGGAAGAGAAGGGGGGAAAGAGAGAAAAAAAGAGAAAGGGAGGGAGGAAGGAGCTTGAAGAGAAGAGGGAGATGGGAAAGGGGAAACAGAGGGTGCGTAAAGAGGAAAAGGGAATGGGTAAGAGGAAAGGAAAGGGAGAGGAAACACAGAAAGAAAAGAAAAGAAAAAATGGGGAGGGGAAGAGAAGGAGAGAGATAAGAAAACAAAGGAGGGGGAGGAGTTTAAGGAGGAAGAAGAAGGAAGAGGGAAGGAGTGGGAGAGTAGAGGGAGAGGGAAAGGGAGAGGGAGAGGGAAGGCAAAATAGAAAGGGGAGGCGAAAGGTAGAAGGAGGAGGCTGAATGAAGGAGAGAGAAGTACCTCTTCTTCTTCCTTTTCTTCTTCTACTTATTATTATCATTTTTTTTATTGATTTATTCTTGGCAACAATTATGGGAGTAACGAGCGATAGGTGATGGATGTCAGGTGTTTTTTTTAGCACATGTATAACATACATAAACTTTGTAATGTGACTGATAAATATCCTGACGAATATCTAGTCGAGATCGGCGAAATATATATATATATATATATATATATATATATATATATATATATATATATATATATATATATATATATATCTTGCTTTGTGAAGGTATACTGTCCCATTTATACTTCTAATATTTTTTTATCTCAATGAAAACTTAAATAATAATAATATTAAAGATGTTGATGATAATAACATCAAAACAACAACAACAATAATAATAATGATAATGATAATAATAATGATAACAATGATAATCAGTGTTTGCTGTAGTGCATGCTGTGTTAACGTAATAAGGATACTATGTGTCACTGCAAATTCGATTCATTTGTGACTTTCACTGTGCCCGCGTGCGTGTGTACGAGTAGGAAGTGAATCCATGTTAATCTACTTTCAGAGATTTTCAGCATTTGTTTTAAAATGTTTTCGTTCTTGTTTGAGTGCGTGGGTTCTAGACTAAAGCAAGAGACTGTGGGGCTAGTTGAGTAAGAACACTGTATGCAATATGTGCAATGTACAGGCCCTTCTCAGCGTTCACAAAGGACGGATTTGGCTTTGTGTAGCATTCTGTCTCTGTGATGAAATTCAGGCATGTTGTTTGTGTGGTATCTGGGTATTGGTTTGTTCTCGAGATTGTTGTAGATATTGATATGCAATGGCTGATTATTGCAGAGGTTCAAGTTTAGTGCGTCATCATGTTTGCTGGTATTGTTACTAATCTTCCCGATAGATTGATCCTGACAATGATATTTCTTATTATTTCTTCCAGTATTCCCGTTTGCGTTCGCTATCATTCTCTTCTATTTCCGTTTTTTTCTGTCTATACTTTGATCTTTCCTCCATTTCCCCCATGTTCATCTCAGTTCTTGTGTTGAGTTATGAATTTTAGATTTATTCCAGCCTTTTTCGGGAATGATCCTTTTGACACCCCTCATCTCACATTCTCAATACAAGCCTAAAAGCGGTTCATGATTTAATCTTCATTTCAATCGCAACGTATACATTATTGCTGCATCAAAGCTTACAAACTTACCTGTGTTTTGATTAAGTCGGCCGACGATGAGGTTTGAGCTCCCAGGGACCGGCTGTGTGTCGAGGGGCGCGAGAACCCGCTCTAGCCCCGGCAGCATGGGTCCCTTGCCCACGTCCCCATCCCCTCCAGGACGGCAGGAGTACCTGCGAGGGACCGGGGACCCCTGCTTGCTCTTGCAGCGCGGGATGTCACGGTTGGGAGACGTCCTGAGGTTGACGCGGGCTCGGAGGTTGTTCATTTCCTGTGCTGACGTCACTGGGACGTCGTGGGAAGAGGTTTTGTTAAGCTCGGAGGACGCGAAGGAGTCTCTCGGTGGCTGTCGGACCGGCTGCTCATGGTGCGACGCCGTGAAGGACACCTGGGAGTAATCCGTTGTGTCGAAGACATGCGACGGGCCGGTGACGGGGCAGAGGTCGTCCAGCGCGGGGCCGGAGAGGTCGGGAAGGCTCTGGGCGCTCGGCCTGCGCTCCAGGCTTCCCGGAGGAGGGGCCAGCGAGTTTTCCGCGATCCGGCTAACCTCCACCTGTTGGCTGGTCAGCTCCACCTTGCCCTCGGGGACGGTGAGGCTCGCGTGAGGGCGTGCGAACAAACTTTTCCCTGCCTGTTGCTCCAAGTAGTTTCCCCCCCTCACCGCCTCGAGGAAGACGCCAGCGTCTAAGCTCGGACTCTTGCTGCGGAAGTGCTTCACATTGTTGACCCAAAGGAAGTTTCTTTGACGGAAATCGATACGGTCCAGGAAGGTGTCCACGCTGGGACTCTTCGCCGCGAACGCCTTGCTGGTAGCGGAGGTGGCGACGGCCTCGGACGCGACGCAGTCCGTGCTGGGGCTCTTCGAGGCGAATGACCGGTGGAATGTCATGTCCAAGTCGCTCTGGTTCAAGTAGCACTCCAGGCTGGGGCTTTTGGAACGGAAGTCATTCTTGATCGGGATCGGATGCGTGGCCTGGGAGCCTCCGCCTTGCGAGACGCCCTCCTCCGGCTGCCTCAGCCTCCGAGGAACCATGTGAGGCTTCTGGTGCGCGAACTTGGCCTCGACCTGCGTGGACGCGGCCATGGGCTTACTGCGCTCTTGGTCTCGCATCGCCGAGTTCAGGTGTTGGAACGAGGAGGGCGTCTTCATGGAGGAGTCCTGCGAGTCCTCCGCCCTCTTCGTCCTCGAGGGGATGTTGACGGGACGGCTAACGTACGCGACGTTGGACTGGGATCGCCCGCGATAATATCCTTCGTATTCCTGATAGCTCTCCTTCTGCGTCAACTGCGTGGCCAGGAGTGAGGTCTCGGAGGCGTACTTCTGCAGGTTGCCCTCCGTCCCGTAGACGCTGGTCCTCTGCTGCGTCTCCACGGCCGCGTGACAGAGGGGCTGCGGCCGCATCTTCCGGAAGCCTTGGCTGGGGTCCTCCGCGTAGCCTATGTTAAAATGCATCCCCGGCCGCCCGTCCCCGCCCCCAGGGGATGGGTACCGGGGAGGAGGAGGCCGCCGGACGCCCCCGGGGAGAAAACCATCCCCCTGGGAGTAAAAGTCCTGCGGAATGGATTGCTGTTGCTGGCATTGCTCTTGGGGCGAGTCCGTGACCCTGAGGCGACTGAATCCCTGAACTGGCTCCATCTCTTCAGGTCTGGGAAAAGAAAACGAAAACGTATTACAATAAATGTATAATGATAGTAACAATAATAATAACAATGATCTGAGACTGAACTGGCTTCATTTCTTCAGGGCTTGGGAAAGAAAACGTGTTAGATCTGACGCACAGGAAATATTATCGTAATTGCAGTAATAATGATAGCAGTGTTAACAATGATGATAGTGATGAGAGATATGATGAGGGCGAATATGACGGTGTTGATGGTGATGATAGTAATGATAATATTGATGATGATGATGATGATGATCAACGCTAACATTAATGATCATTGCAGAGCAGTAGTAATAGTAACATTAGTAGCAGTAATAGTAACTGCATCAAAAGGATAGGGTAAGGCAGTGTTGGTACGGTACGACAACAATAAGAGCAATAATAATGATAATAACAATAGTGACAACAATAACAGTAATATAATTATGATAATAATGATAACGCTTAATAATGTGTCAGATATCGAAGGAGTGATATATTCTCACATAATCATAAACTATATGAAGCTCTATCGTCTAATTACAATTTATCGCCACGAGTGCTTAACCTTAATTTGGAATGATTAACTCTCTCTTCTCCCCTAAACTCTCTTCATTACGTTTGTATATATTCATGTATCTCTCTTTGCCAGCCCCTCTCCCCAAATATCCGAAATGAGATCCTTTGTTGAACGTCATTTAAAATTAATTGGAAAAAAGAATAAGAATTGTGATCAAATTATGATAACATTAACATCCACAGCTAGAATGTATTCAGAAAACGCAGACCTTCGCTGCTGACCAACTATTCTCCTCTCTGTCCCTAAATTGTAATTCGTCTAGCCTTCGTCTGTTATTTATTATTAAAGAAACTACTCCTAAACATCTATTAATTCATCGAATTGCACTACATACGATCAGCGTGTATCTCATCTACCTTAAAATTTGAATATAATCCGCCGTCATCATCCCTAATCTACCATAAACATTATGATTTACTTTTTATCTACTCTTAATTAACTATACTTCCACCTTTTGACGAACTAATACATAAAGGAAACAGTAGATAAATGATTGAATCATTGCAGCCTATCATGAATCAAGTCAACAAGAACTTATTACAAATCTCTGTCGTTGATTTGCATCATCGTCACTTTCTGGTTGAGCATTTTTTTAAAACTCTCTCTAAAATCTAAAGTTCTAAAATCTTCCTTAAAAAACTTAGCCTCAACTATACTAAAATCACTCCCAGATTCAATAGTAATCATCTCCATCTTGGTATACCCTTAAAATTGACTCATTATATCACATATCATAACCTACCATATACGCTCATTCGCCCTCCCAACCCGTACTTTACTGATCTGTGAGTACAAGCATACTGACGTCGGCGTGCTGGGGTCAAAGTCTGGGCGGAAGAGAACTGGCCGCCCTACCGCACTATCCCGCGGCTGAGTGAGTATGTTTCTCTAAGGACATGTCCCCTATGTCCATTTGGGTATGGGACCTACTTTGGCACTTTATTCCAAACACCCATTATTCGTTACAAATCGACCATGCTGTCATTTCTTAAGTTAAAGAGCTAATCTACTCGTAATCACAGGATGTACAAAAATGTTAAACATGTCTCAAATTCAGGTCGAAGTCACGGCCATCACTGTGTTTGAACGAAGTCTTTTCATTAGCTATTTTACTTACTTATTTAGTAAAGAGCATGAGAGGAAACGTACAGTACGGTACATTAACCACTGTAATATACAAGACGATGCACAAAGTACATCTCCGTTATATATTTACGAATACAACACGTTAACAATTTATAGAGTATAATTCGCCATGCTGATACTATGATGCAGAGGAAATGCCACGTATTGCTCTGAATTCGAAAGCATAATAAGGGTAAATAGAAACACAAGTATATTCAAAAGCCTTTTAACGAGAAGAAGACTTAATTTCCGTGCCTGTTTGTTTATTTCAAGTGATTCAGTGCATGAACAGAGATAAAAACAGGAGAGAAAAAAAAAGAAACGTAGCGAACATGCACGAGTGAAAGAAGTCAGTGACCGAGAAATGGAAAAAAGAGATATTCAAATCAACTCTTTACCTACAACTTTCCTTCTCCCCCTCTCGCCCCTTTTTGTGCACAGTATATACATACATGCATGCATACATGAATCCGTACATGCAGACTGTTATCATTCATATATCACTCGATCTCTTTGCTTCTCTTTCTGAACATCTCCCTCTTGTATCTGGGGAATACGACAAAAAGAAAGAAAGAGGGTGAGAAGAGAGAGAGAGAGAGAGAGAGAGAGAGAGAGAGAGAGAGAGAGGGAGAGAGGGAGAGAGAGAGAGAGAGAGAGAGAGGGAGAGAGAGAGAGAGAGAGAGAGAGAGAGAGAGAGAGAGAGAGAGAGAGAGAGAGAGGAGAGAAAGATAGAAAGATAGAAAGATAGAAAGATAGAGAGATAGAAAGATAGAAAAAGAGGAAGAAAGAAAGAGAGAGAAAGAAAGAGAGAACAATGGAAAGAGGGAGATAGGAAGAAAGAGAAAAGGATAAAAAGAAAAAGAGGAAACCCTGCTTCTCAAGTAACCCCTAAGAAAACTCACGCAAGAAACGTCCTTTTTTTTCGCGAATTATAACCCCTTCAACTCCCCCTTCCCCCCCATCAAAAAAAAAAAAAAAAAAAAAAAAAAAAACGCACAAAAAATGAAGAATACTTGTGGCTAAACGATTTCCGCGCAACCTGGCCCCTGTGGTTCAGCGCCTCGGCAGAGCTCAGGCACAGTGCCAAGCCTCAGGGGTGTGGGAACCTCCGCTTGAGAAGTGAATGGCGGAAGGGGATGCGCCTCCAGACCGTCACTTGGTGCCTTCCGATGTGTGAGAGAAATCATTACTTTCGCCTGATGATTTGGATGCGAGAGATTTTCGTCTGATTCTTCATGTTTATTTTGGTATTTACTTGATTTTCTTTTGGCGAGCTTTGTTTGTTCAGTTATTTGTTGATTTTGTTAATTCGTTAATGTCTTGCTTGTCCTTCATCGGGTATTTCAGTATTTCATTTCGTCACTTTGCGATCTCTGAGTTCATTACAGGAACGGAGCACATTGTATTTCCAGCTGTCATTTATTACTCTCATTATCAGAGGTTTAAATCTTTATTGGAAGAGCAGTGACCTGGTTCCGCCAACAAAGGGTAATGATGATGCATTGAACGAGATAGAAATGATAATAAATCACTTCCACCTGAGCTGTGAAAATCGATAAATGTTGTATGGCTCTAATCATGAGGACATAGAAAACGGAGGAACCCATTTAGAAAACGGGGTTTCTCGTTATTTTGACGCCGAATGAAAATGGAACTGATTATCATCATACGTTTCGATATATTCATATTTGTTTTACTTTTACGTTTATCAGGATGTCTTCAAAGAATCTCTCTCTCTCTCTCTCTCTCTTTTTCCTTTGCCTCGTCAGTTCAACATATCTTAAGTTCATAGTTTGATGTTATCTAATGTCAGCTGTGCTTGGCCCTTCGAGATGCTGACTAATGATACTGTAGGAGTAATATTCGGCGCAGATATGGATTTCTCAGGACAGAGATAAGAGTATGCATAGATAAAATATGAATGTATGCTTTTACCTATACATGTATATATGTATGTGTATGTGTATGTGCATGTATATGTGTATGCGTATGTGTATGCCATAGGCTTTGGAGCGATTTTGAAAGTGGGGGGCGCACTTCTGCGAGTGAATTCAATTCGAGGGCGCGTAAGCGACCGAGAAGGGGTGGGTGTGGGAGGGGGTGTCCCCCTGACAGGGTAGACAAAAATTAATTTAATAATTTAATTGGACTGACACAATACAGTTTCATTGTCAACCCCAAGGCATTATTTTATTAAAGTCGGTGATGCTAGTCTCTAAATGACAGTGTAACAAATCGGCACTGAGCTATGGTACTTAACCCTCCTTGTCCTCTCATGGTGGTACAGCATACAGCAAATGCCATGCATGTGTATATGGGTGCTTGGTTCCAAGCCACAGTACTGGCTAAGTGTCTCGGCTGGTGTATCTTATCAAAACATGTCATAAGGCCATCTCAATACCCGGTATAGCATGTACAAGGGATCAAAAGGTCTGGGACTGAATCCTGTTGCTGCTGTAGTGACGTGCTAGTGGATGAACCTGTGTGTAGTAACTAGCTAACTGCACTTGGCACCCCTGGGCCAAAAAGTAGGGGGGGGCGCGCCCCCCTCGCCCCCCCGGCTCCAAAGCCTATGTATGCGTATGTATATGTACATATATATGCATGCATGTACACACGAAAAAAAAAGAAAAAAAAAGAAAAAACAAAAAGAAAAGAAAAAAAAAAGAAAAAAAAAAAAAAAAAAAAAAAAAAAAAAAAAAAAAAAAATATATATATATATATATATATATATATATATATATATATATATATATACATTGTGCACAGGAAGTCCCATGCTTACCGAAACCTTTAAAGTCTCCGCCAATGTTGTGGGAGTGTTGGCTTGTTCGTAAGATTCGAACCACTCGGCGACTGTTTCATAACTCCGTTCCAAAAACATGCTATATATAAAGTTGAGAAATTTAGGTGCTGAGAGTTACAGCGTTATCGAAATTGCCCGCCAGCTTCGCATTCACCTTCCTTCGAAGGCAATAAAATTTAAGGCCTTTTTTTTGTAATATTCTAAAAAACACTAAGACTTTGATATATTGGTGTAGGCTTCGCGGTCCCTACAAAAAACAAAACAAAACAAAAAACAAACAAACAAAAAAAACGCATCATCGAAGCTTGTTCTGACTTTTGAAAAAGTAAAAAAAAAAGACCCCATTCATCTTTACTTCATATGCAAAAGTCAACAGGAAACCATTAAAGTACTCACTATGCTGGGATGGATTTTAATTGGATGTAAACGTTTGGGAAGCATCAAATGGAGAAAAGTACTAGACTATACGAATTACATTGTTGATATAAACCA